AGGGAGAGACAGCAAGCAACTTAGAAAACATATTTAAGGATATCGTCCACAAAAGTGTCCCCAACCTCACTAGAGAGGTTGACATTCAAATTTAGGAAATTCAGAGATCCCCTGTGAGATACTAAACAAGACACCCATCCCCAAGATACACAGTCATCAGATTCTCCAAAGTCAATGTAAGAGAAAAAAATCTTAAAGGCAGCCAAAGAGAAGGCGCAGGCCACCTACAAGGCGAACCCATCAGGTTAACAGCAGATCTTTCAGCAGAAGCCCTACAAGCCAGAAGAAATTAGGGGCCTATATTCAGCAGTCTTAAAGAATATAAATTCCAACCAGAAATTTAATATCCAGCCAAACTAAGTTGATAAATGAAGGAGAAATAAAATCCTTTTTAGACAAGTAAATGCTAAGGGAAATTGTTACCACCAGACCTGTCTTACAAGAGACCTAGGAAGTACTAAACATGGAAATAAAAACACATTTCCAGTCACCACAAAAACACACTTAAGTACATAGATCCTTGACACTGTAAAGCAGCTACACAATCAAGTCTGCATAACAGCCAGCTAACAACATGACAACAGATTCAAATCCACATATATCAGTATTAACCTTGAGTGTAAACAGGGTAAACATCTCACTAACGGCACAGAGTGGTAAATTGGATAAAGAAGAAAGACTCAACTCTATGCTGTCTTCAAGAGACTCATCTCACGTGCAATGACACCCACAGGCTCAAAGTAAAGCATTGGAGAAAAATCTACCAAGCAAATGGAGCACAAAAAAGAACAGGGCTACTATTCTAATTTCAGACAAAACAGATTTCAAACCAGGAATAATCAAAAAAGACAAAGAAGGACATTATATAATGATAAAGTATCCAATTCAACAAGAAAACTTAACTTTCCTAAATATATATGCACCCAACACAGGAGCACCCAGTTCATAAAGTAAGCTCTTGGAGTGCTACAAAGAGACTTAGATAACCACACAATAACAGTGGGCCACTTCAACACTCCACTGACAGTATTAGACCAATCATTGAGGCAGAAAACTAACAAAAAAAGATATTCAAGACCCAAACTTAACATCTACAGAACACTCCACCCAACAACAACAGAATATACATTCCTCTCATTCTTATATGGCAAATACCCTAAAGTTGACCACATGCTCTGCATAAAATAGTTCTGAACAAATTCCAAAAAACCAAAATCATACAAACCACACTCTCACAGCACAATAAAAAAAAAAAAAATACTAAGAAAACCTCTCAAAACCATACAATTACATGGAAGTTAGCCTGCTCCTAATGACTTCTGGGTAAACAATAAAATCAAAGCAGAAATCAAGAAATTCTTTGACAGTCAAAACTATGTGCTGTCATGCACACTCTAGAAGAAATCTAAACTAAATGGATAAATTCCTGGAAACATACAACTTGCCAAGGTTCAACCAGGAAGAAATTGAAACTTTTAACAGACCAATAATGAGTTCCAACATTTTCAAACGAATGAAAACAAAGATACATCATACCAGAATCTCTGGAACACAGCTAAGGCAGTGTTAAGAGGAAAGTTTACAGTGTTAAATGCCCACATCAAAAAGTTGGAAAGACCTCAGATTAACCAATTAACATCACACCTAGAGGAGCTAGAGGAACAAAAGCAAACCAACCCCAAAAGTAGCAGAAAACAAGAAATGACCAAAATCAAAGCTGAACTGAATGAAATTGAGATGCAAAGAAAACATACAAAAGGTAAATGAAACCAAAAACTGGTTCTCTGAAAGAATAGATAAAAGTGATCGACTTCTAGTGAGGCTAACAAATAAAAAAGAGAGAAGATCCAAACAAACACAATCATAAATGACAAAGGGTTATTACCACTAATCCAACAGAAATACAAAAAAAAACCCTCAAAGACTATTATAAACACCTCTATGCACATAGACGAGAAAATCTGGAAGACATGGATAAATTCCTGGAAACACACAACTTCCCAAGATTGAACCAGGAAAAAATTTAAACCTGAACAGACCAATAACGAGTTCCAAAATTGATTCAGTAATAAAAAACTTACCAACCAGTAAAAGCCCTGGTCCAGATGGATACAGCCAAATTCTACTAGACATTTAAAGAAGAGCTGGTACCAGCCCTACTGAAACTATTCCAAAAAATTAAGGAGGAAGGACTCCTCCCTAACTCATTTTATGAGGCCAGTATCATCCTGATACCAAAACCTGGCAGAGACACAAGAAAATAAAATTCCTGGCCATTATCCCTGACGAATATAGATGCACAAATCAGGAACAAAATCCTAGCAAACTAAATTCACTAGCACATCAAAAAGCTAGACCACCTCAATCAAGTAGGCTTTATCTCTTGGGTGCAAGGTTACTTCAACATACGCAAATCAATAAATGTAATTCATTACATAAACAGAAGTTAAAACAAAAACCACATGATTATCGCAGTAGACGCAGAAAAGGCTTTCAATAAAATTCAACATCACTTCACGTTAAAAACCTTCAACAACTAGGCATTGAAGAAACACATCTCAAAATAATAAAAGCCATTTGTGACAAATCCACAGCCAACATCAAACTGAGTGGGCAAAAGCCGGAAGAATTTCCCCTGAAAACTGGAACACGACAATGATGCCCACTCTTCCCACTCCTATTAAACATAGCACCAGAAGTCCCAGCCAAGGCAGTCAGGCAAAAGAAACAAATAAAAGGCATCCAAACAGGAAGAGGTAGTCAAACTATCTCTCTTCACAGATAATATTTTATATCCAGAAAACCCCCATAGTCTCTACCCAAAAGCTCCTAGATCTGATAAACAACTTCAGCAAAGTTTCAGGATACAAAATCAATGCACAAAAATTAGTAACCTTTCTATACACCAACAACATCCAAGCTCAGAACCAAGCCAAGAACACAATCCCAGTCCCAATAGCCAAAAAAAAAAAAAAAACAAACAAAAACCTAGGAATACAACTAACCAGCGACGTAAAAGATCTCTACAACGCCAGTTACAAAATATTGCTGAAAGAAATCAGAGATGACACAAACAAATGGAAAAACATTCTATGCTCATGAATAGGAAGAATCAATATTGTTTAATGACCATACTGCCCAAAGTAATGTATAGATTCAATGCTATTCCTATCGAACTACCAATATTTTTCACAGAATTTGAAAAAGCTATCTTAAAATTAATATGGAACCAAAAAGGAGCCTGAATAGCCAGTAAATCCTAAGCAAAAAGAACAAAACTGGAGGCATCACACTACCTGAATTCCAACTATGCTACAATGCTACAGCAACCAAAACAGCATGGTACTGGTACAAAAACAGAAACACTGACCAATGGAACAGGTTAGAGAACCCAGAAATAAAGCCTCATACCTACAGCCATCTGATCTTCAACAAAGTAAACAAAAACAAGCAATGGGGAAAGAACTCCCTATTCAATAAATGCTGCTGGGATAGGTGGCTAGCCATATGCAAAGACTGAAATTGGACCCGTACCTTTCACCATATACAAAAACCAACTCAAGATGGATTAAAGACTTAAGTGTAAAACCTAAAACTATAAAAACCCTAGAAGAAAACCTAGGAAATACCATTCTGCACATAGGACCTGACAAAAATTTCATGACAAAGACTCCAAAAGCAATTGTAACCACAACTAAAATTGACAAATGGGACCTAATTAAAGAACTTCTGCACAGTGAAAGGAACTATCAACAGAGTAACAGACAAGCTGCAGGATGGGAAAACTATTTGCAAACTCTGCATCCAAGAGGTCTAATATCCAGAATCTATAAGGGATTTAAACAAAGTAACAAGCAAAAAGCAACCCCATTTAAAAATGGACAAAGGACATGAATAGACACTTCTCAAAAAAAGACATATAAGCAACCAACAAGCAAATGAAAAAATGTTCAACATCATTAATCAATGCAAATCAAAATCACAATGAACTACTATCTCACACCAGTCACAATGGATATCATTAAAAAGTCAAAAAATAACAGAGGTTGGCAGGGTTGCAGAGAAAAGGGAATGCTTATACACTGTTGATGGGAATGAAAATTGGTTCAGCCACTGTGGAAAGCAGTTTGGAGATTCCTCAAAGAACTTAAAACAGAACTACAATTTGACCAGCAATCCCATTACTGGGTATACACCCAAACAAAAATAAAACAAATATCTGCCTTAAAGACACAAGCACACACATGTTAATCACAGTACCATTCACAATAGCGAAGACATGGAATCCATTTAAATACCCATCAATGGTGGATTGGAGAAAGAAAATGTGGTACATATACACCATGGAATACTACACAGCCACAAAAAAAAAACAAAATCCTGTCATTTGCAGCAACATGGTTGGAGCTGGAGGCCATTATCCTAAGAAAATTAATGCAGGAACAGAAAAGCAAATACATGTTCTCACTTATAAGTGGGAGCTAAACATTGAATACATACAGACACGAAGAAGGGAACAATAGTCACTGGGGCCTAGCTGAGGATGGAGAGTAGGAGGAGGGTGAGGATTGAAAAACTAACTATTGGGTACTTCACTTATTACCTGAGTGATAAAATAATCTGCATACCAAACTCCTGTGAAAATCTACCCGTGTAACAAACCTGCACATGTACACCTTGAACCTAAAATAAAAGTTGGAAAGAAAAAAAAAAGGGTGGGGGGGGCTTTCTTTAAATTTATTTATTATTTATTTATTTATTTATTTTGAGACAAAGTCTCATTCTGTTGCCCAGACTGGAGTACAGTGGCATGATCTCGGCTCACAGCAACCTCTACCTCCCAGGTTCATGTGATTCTCCTGCCTCAGCCTCCCAAGTAGCTGGGATCATCAGCATACACCACCATGCCCTGCTAATTTTTGTATTTTTAATAGAGATGGGGTTTCACCATGTTGGCCAGGCTGTTCTGGAACTCCTGACCTCAAGTGATCCACCTACCTTGGCCTCCCAAAGTGCTGGGATTACAGGTGTGGGCCACCACGCCCTGCCAGAGAAAAAAAAGAAAAGAAGAAAAAAAATTAAGAGAAACTATAATAAAAGGTATATTTGAGAAGTCACACCCTCCCCTATTACTCTCACAGTTCTTCTCTATGGGTAAGCAATTTCCTCGTTTCTGGTTATTCTTAGTGTTTGTGAGGATTTTTTGTTGTTTTGGGTTTTTTTTTTTTTTTTGCAAAAAGAAAAATGTAAGTATGCAGAAACACACACACACTCATGCACACACACACACACACGCACCTATCACCTATTGTTATTTTTTCCTACTCTCATAGAAAAGTTAGCACTATTGTATATTTAGGGATCATCCTCAATGCCTCAGTCTCTGTTGAATTCCATAGTCCTATTAATCACCAAGACCTTCCAACATCCTCTCTTGCTTACTCTACCAACCTATTTTCTTTTTCTTTTTTTTTTTCCAAGATGGAGTCTCACCCTGTTGCCCAGGCTGGAGTGGAGTGGCATGATTTCAGCTCACTGCAACCTCCACCTCCCTGGTTTAAGAAATCCCCCTGCCTCAGCCTACTGAGTAGCCGGGATTACGGACACACGCCACCACGCCTGGCTAATTTTTTTGTATTTTTAGCAGAGACGGGGTTTCACCACGTTGGGCAGACTGGTCTCAAACTCCTGATCTCAGGCAATCCGCCCGCCTCAGCCTCCCAAAGTGCTGGGATGATAGATGTGAGCCACCACACCCGGCCTCTACCAGTCCATTTTCTATATTGAAGTGAAAGTAAACCTTTCAAAATGTCAATCCCAACAGGTTACCCTCTACCTCTCCTTCAGTAGTTTGCTGTTACTGTTAGGATAAAGTCAAACATTCTTAATATGGCCTAAAAGATTGCTTTTCTACTTTGTAACTTTTTCTTGCTCCAATGTTGCCCTTTTAATGATACCTCTTAGAAGACAAGCTCCCCTAACTCTCTTGCCATTAGTCATGTTTAAGCACAGGAAAAGCTAATTCCTCTATGATTCCTGGTTGTGCTTATACTTGTAAACACTCATACCAATAAACTTCAGTTCATAATATTTGTATCTAAGATTTATCAAGTTTATCCCATGAACTCATTTTAATCATATAGCAGATGGATAAAAATATTTGCATTTGGGAGAATAACCAGACATGGTCTTTTATCAAATAATTCTTCAGCAAATGGAGATATGACAGAGTAAACCAGAACAGCAGTGCTGTAAGTCTTGTCACATCTCCGGGATGCCTATGAAGGTTGGAGAGGAGAGGAGAGACTGGGAATGTGTATGGAAACTGAAGAGAAGACCTTTGGAATACGTGTACTGTTTGACTCAGAAAATAGAGTTATGATACTTACTTCTAGAATTATCCTAAGGAATTAGCATGGTTATTTTTGAAATTTAAGGACAAGGATAATCAAAACAGCAAAACAAAATGGACAAAGTATGTGTTATATGTGTTAAGAAGGTCTGGAAGAATATAGACCAAGGAATAAATCATAATTTCCTCTGTGTGATGAGGTAATAGTCACATGAATTTTATTCTTTTTTGTTTCTCTTTATTGCTAATGTTGTCTACAATTATTGTGCCTTGCTTTGATCATTTTTGGAGGTAATTTTTATTTTAAAAAACTGTGTTGGAGTCTTTACTGAGTTTGATAGAATTTTAAAATGTTCTCTGCTCCAGGAATAGAAGTTAAAATTTCAGAGAGGAAGCAGCTAGTTGCAAAGGACAGAGATGGAGAAACACTGAGGGGAAGTAAAGTTCCCTCCCCATCCTCAGCCCATCTATTCTGAAATTTAGCCAGGTCTTCTCCAGCCTACACTTCTGCCATGAAATGACTCCCTCTGCGTCATACACACACCTGCAAGAGGCGGATTGAATTGATGTTCAGGCAGCAAGCCTAGGAAAACGTGGAGGGTCCTTGCCAAAAACGAATTCAAATTCCTTCTGAGTTTAATTGTTTTCCATTTCACCATGCCTAGATTTCTTCCTTGTCTTCTCCATCCCAAGAATCTTCCTGAAGCTTGGGTACTTAGTCAGGTCTCAGGTGTGAACCATCTGGAAAGAAATCCTTTTGAGAATAAACATTTTCTGTGCCAAAAATGTGTCTGAGTTAAGTGTTAGCTCTGAGCCCTCAACAACCTTAAGATTTCCCCCAGGTGTTGAGAGAATGAGAAAACCGCCATAATGGACGATATGGGAGAATCAGGTGGGAAGGTCAGTGGGGTCCAGCCCGTCACGGGTAGAAGCATGATTGGAGCACAGCCTCCAAGAGATGTATTTCCATATGTTTTCTAAGCATTAAGAGACATGGGTTTCCTTAAGACAAGAAAATATGGGACCGGGCACCATGGCTCAGGCCTGTAATCCCAGCACTTTGGGAGGCCAAGGTGGGTGGATAACTTGAGATTAAGAGTTCGAGACCAGCCTGGATAAAATGGTGAAACCCCGTCTCTACTAAAAATATAAAAATTAGCTGGGCATGGCGCCTGTAATCCCAGCTACTCAGGAGGCTGAGGCAGGAGAATTGCTTGAACCCGGGAGATGGAGGTTGCAGTGAGCCAAGATGGCCTCATAGCACTCCAGCCTGGGTGACAGAGAGAGACTCCGTCTGAAAAACAAAAAACAACAACAACAACAACAACAACAAAAAACAAAACAGGAGGGCCTCTAACGCTTTTCCAGAAGACTCTCTCATTGGTGGGCAGCTGATGAGTAAACAGACTCGACTTAGACTCAAAAGAAAATTATGGCTGGGGCCGGGCACAGTGGCCCACACCTGTAATCCCAGCACTTTGGGAGACCAAGGCAGGCGGATAACTTGAGGCCAGGAGTTCCAGACCAGCCTGGCCAACATGGTGAATCCCCATTTCTACTAAAAATACAAAAATTAGCCGGGTGTTGTGGTGCACACCTGTAATCCCAACTACTCAGGTGACTGAGGCAGGAGAATTGCTCGAACCCAGGAGGCAGAGGTTGCAGTGAGCCAAGATAGGGCCACTGTACTTCAGCCTGGGTGACCGTGTGAAACCTCGAGAGAAAAAAGAAAAGAAAAAGGAAAAGAAAAAGAAGAAGAAAAAGAAAAAGAAGAAGAAAAAGAAAAAGAAAAAGAAAAGGAAAAGAAAAGAAGGAAGGGAAAGAGAGAGAAAGAAAGAGAGAGAGGAAGGAAGGAAGGAAGGAAGGAAGGAAGGAAGGAAGGAAGGAAGGAAGGAAGGAAGGAAGGAAGGAAGGAAGGAATTATGGTTGGGTAGGTATTTCAATGTAGATGTCTGTGACTCCAAAAATATGTTTTCTTTTTGTTTTATAAACCTTGTGATATTGTCAGCAACTGTATCAGTGTTTTTACAACTCTTTTCTACCACAATAAAGAGATTTACATCGTAACCCTAGCATACACTCACATATACTCTAAAACACATTTACAAAGAAAATCTTCCCAAAACAACATACATCTTTCCTAAATGCGGTTGGATCATTACTATTCTGTCCTATTTCTACTTTTTATCATGCTGGTTTCAACCCACTCTGGTTTCAAGAGTAGGCTGGTTTCAACCTGTGAAATATATTTCACAACCCATTAATAGATCCAAACCTGCCTACATTATTTATATAAGTTGCTTTAAGTGGTTTTTTTTTTTCTGAAATTAGCTTTTAAATTTTCATGGATTTATTTTTTACATAAAATTATATTTTGGCCAACATTTTCCAATACTATTATTATCACTACTTACGGGCAAGAGAGGCGTTCTGTGTTTATCCATGTACATTATTAGTAAGCTTCTTATTCAGACAAAACCTTCTCAACCTTCTGTTATTAAATATTCTGTCTTTAACTGCTTGTGAAGAATCTTTATGGTGTGCTATCACAGCCGTTGCATTTCTGAGTCATAATATTTGTGAAGCAGGGTAGAAGCTAGTTCTCCAAGGAATGCTATATAAAGTCAGTCTGAAAATAGCACGTTTCTATTTTTTACAAGCATCCAGAAATTGTCCATTCTTCTTTGAATAATATGCATGTTTCTAAAGATAAAGCATTGCAGTAATTGTGTGAACTTAAGGAAGACATCTCTGAGTGACTGCTTCCTCACCTGCAAGATCATACAATCTCCTAGGGCTATTGGGAGCTTCATAGGAAATAATCCAGAGAAAGGTGTGGCTCAGCACCAGGCACAACATAAGTTCATTTTGAGACATGACTATTATTATTATTATTATTATTACTATTAATGAATCCCTTGTGTTAGACTAAGTCCTCTAGAAAACAGAGGCTGAAAGAAGAATTAAGATCCTAAAACTGTTTTGGGAAAGTGGGAACCTAGAGCAGTGAGAGTGGAAGAAAAGAGGAGAAAAGGCAAAGAAAGATGCAAAGCAACACAAGAAGATGTATTCCATGCTCTCTGCTGTTTATTTCATGACACATTGCAAAGGAACAAAGCAAGTTTGCCTTGCATACAGAACCTCTCTAGAAGGGTTGCCAGGAGGAACTGCATCTCGGAGTAGCTTATGGAAGACACAATGGTGAGGAAATCTACTCACTCTACTACTCTATCTCCCTCTTTTTTTTCCCCATTGGTTATGTTTCACTCTGTAAGAAGCTAACTCCTCTGTACTTCTGTGTTGTCCTGTCTAACCCCTTGGCAGTTGCTGAGGAAGTCAGATCCCTGCTGGATGAGTCCGTTTGTGTTACTATAAAGGAATAGCTGAGACCTGGCAATTTATAAAGAAAAAAACGTTTATTTTGGCTTACGGTTCTGCAGGCTGTACAGGTAGCATGGTGCTAGCATCTGCTTCTGGTGAGGGTCTCAGGAAGCTTGCAATCATGGTGGAAGGTGAAAGGGGAACCAGCGTGTCACATGGCAAGAGAGAGAGCAAGAGACAGGGAGGAGCTGCCAGGCTCTCTTAAACAATCCGATCTCACATGAACTCATGGAGTGAGAACTCACCTTATTACTGCGAGGACCGCACCAGGACATTCATGAGGAATCTGCTCCCATGATCCAAACACGTCTCACCAGGCTCCCCTCCAACATTGGACATCACATTTCAACATGAGATTTGGAGGGGACAAAATATCCAAACCGTATCACCTGCCCTGTTTTGTGGTGTCTCATCCCAGTCTTAAAATGGAAAACCAGCCCGTCTGAGGTGAGGTACCACTAGGAAAGAGAAAATTAGAGGCAACTGAGGATAGTATGTAAGCAAGCGTGAAAGGTCTGAGGCTCAGTGCACTTCAAGTGTTCTCACTGGACTCCTCTCAACCCTTCGTTCATGACACACTGCTATCATTGTTCCGTACGTGTTCAGATTTTTTTTTTTTTTTTGAGGTGGAGTCTTGCTCTGTCACCCAGCCTGCAGTGGTGTAACCTCGGCTCACTGCAACCTCCTCCCCCTGGGTTCAAGCGATTCTCCCACCGCAACCTCTAGAGCAGCTGGGATTACAGGTATGTGCTACAACACCTGGCTAATTTTGTATTTTTAGTAGAGATGGGGTTTCACCATCTTGGTCAGGCTGGTCTCGAACTCCTGACCTCAAGTGACCCACCCACCTCAGCCTCCCAAAATGTTGGGATTACAGGTGTGAGCCACCATGCCTGGCCTCATTTTTTCTTACTATGATGCAATAAGATAAATGATATCTGTGAACCTATCACTAAGCTGAGAACTAGAATACTGATAATAAATTACAAATATATATCTACACACGTGGGTATGTACATAAATATATATACACATATACATAAATACATATATATGCTGTATATTTGGCTTTAGTTGTTTTGAACTTGTTTTTTAATTCAATATTAAAGGATTTATTCATATTGATACATGTAGTTATAATTGATTTTCAAAGATACATAGCATTATTTGTGGGACTGAATTGCATTTATGTTCTCAGTAGCTAAGCAATGGGTTTTCAGATTGTTGTCCTTTTTTTTCTTCTTATGAATAGTGATGCCAGTACAGGAATGTCAATGTTGGCCCATAGGGGTTAGGAACACATTCAACCTTGTGAGATACTGCCAAACTCCTTTCCAATGTGATTGTGCCAATTTACTCTTCCTCCGGCAATTTATAAGAGATGTAAGAGATTTTGATGATTACATCTTTCTAAAGCTCGGTTTTGTTGGGCTTCTTAATAATTGCCAATTATAATGAAATAAATACTAAATGAAATTAAAGAAATGTATCGGTCTCACAGTGGAATGCTACATATTATTAAAAATCAATTATATACGTAATCAAATATATATACCTACATAATGAATAGGTGTAAAATGCTGTTATCATTAAGATACACTAAAATGGCCTTATGCGGCCCAGCAGAGAGAGAACTCTTGGACTTGAAATGAATGGACAAGGAAATAAATTTCTTTGTGATAACAACAACAACAGTAGCTAACAGTTACTGGCTGCCTGATACAGCCAGGTATTCTAATTTTATATATAAGGTTAAAGTAAATACGTGAGAAATATTTTTGTTAGACTTATTTTACAAAAAACAAACAAAACAAAACAAAAAAAAACCCTAGGGTTCAGAAAGCTTAACGCGCTTGAGCAAGAGCTTAAAGCTACTTCATGTTAGGAATTAGGGTTCGAAACCAGGTCAGTCTAGCTCGACACGCACAATGACAAGAGCACGTATGACAGTCTGAATCACGTAAAGGTTTCTTAGGGGCCAGGGAGTTAGATGTCTGGGCAAGGCATCTATAAATTTCTGCCAGCCCTGTAGGATTTCACTATCGAAGGAGAGAGCAGAGGAAAGGAATAAGTCATACCACTAGGTCAGAAAAATAATTTTTAAAAAGAATGTTTTTATGTTTGTTTTCTTTAACTTCTATTATCTTCAGTTCTAAGACAGTGTTTTTAAAATGTCAACCTCTTAATCCCTCAATTTTGGCCAATGAATTCTGAGTGGAAGTAAACATGTGTTATTTCTGAGTCTGGACAGTGTGAGAGACCAGGTCAGTCAAGTCCACAGAAGTGCCTGCGATGATGGGAATGTTCCAGAATCCACGCTACAAAATATAGTAGCCAGTAGCCACATGTGGAAAAAACTATCAAGCACTTGAAATGCAGCTTGTGCAATGAAGGGACTGAAATTTCCATTTTATTTTAATTACTTTTGAATCAAATCCAAGTAACTGCAGGTGGCTCCAAGCTGTGTAAAGCACAGTCCAGTTCTAGGGTTTTCTTTCTGTTGTGATGACCAATGTGGCTCCATCTAGCGGTTGGTCCATCAGCCTGAGAAGGGGCGACACAGAACAGCGCTTCCCAGCTGATAGTCGATTTGAATGTGTGTTCAAAAGAAATAAGCTTCTGTTGTTTTAAACCACTGAGATTATTTTCCTGCAGTAAACCTTAGCCTATCCTACAAGAGACAGGAGTAACTAGATGAGAGCTTTAATGGAAGGGTTGGAACTGAGTTTCCATTGCCCACTGTGGTACAGCCATCGGTGGCCATGTGTTCCATGCACAGACACGGCCCTTCTAATGGCACCCTCCTGACACCTGCACTGTGGCCTCTCCAGGCCGGGGCACTACCCTAAAGAGTGAGAATAAACCACCTAGTGTTGGGTATCATGTAACCTAATTTGAATTTCTGTGCCACCACTTAATAACTGTGTAAGCTTGGGAAAATTACAAAAGCCTTTGAGCACTAGTTTCAGGGTCTCTTAAACAGCCGTAATGGTAGTCCTTAATTTATAGGATTGTCATGAAGACTAGTTAAGAGAATGTTTATAAATTGGATGACACATAGTAAGCATTCATAGAAAGATCAGCTACCTCTTCTTATTCTTACATTGTTATTCTCATTACATTCATGGAAGTGCAGAGGTGCAAGAGCACACACATAATGGGGAGTCTGCACACACATGTCTTCGGTCTCAAATTCTGACACTCATGAGCTGTCTGACCCTAAACTATCTAGTTTCTTTCAGATTACTCATTTCCAAAATGGATAATAAAATACTAAAGGGAAGGCCAGGCATGGTGGGTCACGCCTGTAATCCCAGCACTTTGGGAAGCCAAGGCAGGCAGATCGCCTGAGCTCAGGAATTTGAGATCACTCTGGGCAACATGGTGAAACCTGGTCTCTACCAAAATACAAAAACCTAGCCGGGTGTAGTGGGGCGCACCTGTAGTCCCAGCTACTCGAAAGGCTAAGGCACAAGAATCTCTTAAGCATGGGAGGCAGAAGTTGCAGTGAGCCAAGATCACACCACTGCACTCCAACTGGGCTACAGAGTGAGATGCTCAAAAATGAAAACAAAAACAAAACTAAAGTGGAGTTGCTATGAGGGTTAAATGAGAGAGTGCCTTGAAGTGCCTGGTACATTACATAGCAGATGTTCAGCATGGACTCCTTTTATGTCCAAGCTGCTGCCTTTCCTATCTTACCCTCCTCTCTGCAACATATTTACCATTCTCTCTTTCTCTCTCTTTCTCTGTCTCACACACACACACACATACACACACCCCTGTATATCCTTCCCATTATCTTATTTAACCTGGCCATAAACAACAGGACAGTTTCTGGCTACAATAATAATGCTTCAACCACTCCAAACTCACTGCATCCTGCCATATGTCGAAGGAATTGACTAAGGTAAACAGTGGTGCAGCTGGCAGTACACCAGGGCCACCACGTAGCCAGCCCTGAAGAGACAGTAAAGACGTCTCTTGAATTTCTAAGCTTATGAGATAGAGAAAATGTCACGACTAATATTCCAGGAAGTAGGAAAGATGTGACCTTTCCTCACCCATCATAAGGATCAAAGCTGACATGCCATAACAAAGGACAGGTTAACAAGAGAAAAGCATAACAACTTTATTTAATCAAAGTTATCCATGACATAAGAGCCCTCAGAAATGAAGACCCAAAGACCCAGAGAAAATGGTTCATTTTTATCCTTAGATTTAGTAAAGTGTAGACAGTCATGTGGAAATGTGATTGGACAAAACGGGTATGATCTAATGGTGATAGGCTGGGGGAGAGTTAACCCAACAAGGCCTGTCTGTTCAGGTTCTTGTTGGCCTCTCTGTGTAGCACTTCTTCCTCCTGGTATAGGACAGAAGCCCTCCAGAAAGAGGGTCTTACGATCTACTATCAGACAAGGTAGGTCAGAGTATTTCTTATGGCCAGCTCCTACACAGAAGGCAGGGGAAGGTTACAGTAATATAGCTGGTTTCTATAACCTGCCCTGGGGAAGAAGAACTCTAATTTCTCTCTCTCTCATTTTTTTTTTCTTTTTCGAGATGGAGTCTTGCTCTTGTCACCCAGGCTGGAGTGCAGTGGCACAATCTTGGCTCACTGCAATCTCTGCCTCCTGGGTTCAAGCAATTCTTGTGTCTCAGCCTCCCAAGTAGCTGGGATTACAGGTGTGCACCACCACGCCCAGCTAATTTTTGTATTTTTAGTAGAGACAGGGTTTTGCCATGTTGATCAGGCTGGTCTCGAACTCCTGCCCTCAGATGATCCGCCTGCCTCAGCCTCCAAAGTGCTGGGATTACAGGCATGAGCCACTGTGCCTGGCCCCAAATTCTAATTTCTATGACTTGCCATCAAGGAGAAAGGAGAGGAGACCTCAGGGCAGGAGAATGTTGGAGAGACAGACTTTGCTTCTGAGGCTGCTTCTGAGGCCTTCCAATCTCCTTTAGTTCTAAGTACTCAACAAGCCAAAGCATTGTATTTTGGGGCGTCATTTTCTGAGCTCCAATAGTGGAGTCAGCCTAACCTGGCACAGCTACTCCATGAGAGAAGCAATGGCCCCTGGGGATGGGGCCACATTTCCTCGGTGACAGTGGATTATTATGTGGGGACAAAGTGGAGCTTGAAGAGAGAACCTAAAGAGATAATGACATCTAGGGTCCCATCTCCCAAGAAGCGGCTAAACATCATGAAATTCCAGGTGTGGCTGAATTTGTGTGCCTAAAGTAGAAGATGTGGAAACTTCTGCTCCCAACTGGAAATGTTACAGACTGAGGGAGACTAAGGAGAAATAACAATTAAATGTCATATGGAGTTCTGGATAGGATCCTGGAACTAAAAAAGGACAACAGTTGAAACACTAATGAAATTGAAATAGAGTCTAGATTTAGTTAGTATAGTGCCAATTTTAATTTCCCGGTTTTGGTAATTGTACTATGGTCATATAAGGTATTTGCCTAAGAGGA